TAACCACTACCCCTAAACCCTTGGACCCCTAAACCTGGGGCAAGGATGATCGCCCTCTGTGTCTCTCTGTCTTCACGTGTCTGTCTTTCCTTCCTCTTCTCCTTCTCTCAATGTGTGTATACACAGGCGGGGAAGCACCTCTGCCGTTATTATGCAGAGCTCCTGGGAAAACTTGGGAGAACTAATTTTTAGGAGTCCCTTTTAAGAAATGTTCAACATTACCTGTTTGTCTATAGAAGGACAAAATGGTTCTCTCTCTCTCTTTCTCTCTCTCTCTCTCTCTCTTTCTCTCTCTCTCAGCAAGGGGTTCTGGGCTTGTGACCATGGCTCACTAAAGACCCTCAGGTTGTTTGTAGCTGAAGCAGGAAGCTCCTGGGAAGCCAGCGTAGACAGCAGTGTGTTGTAGAGAGCTTTGCTTAGAGCTAAACACATCCGAGGTGCTGTACTGATGAGACATCACACTTCCCTTTACACTTGGCACTCGAAGGGAGGGCCCAAGGCAGGCTGCAGGATTCTTGGTTATATCAGAAATGGACTTACAGCCTCCAGATCCAATTTCCCAATTCTCCTAATGAAATGAATCTCCCAAACTCTCAAGTGACTAATTGAAAATAAGAAAACTACAGCCACCACATGGGGAGACAAGTCACGCCATTTTCATTATAATTATTCAGCTTTTCAACCGGATTGACCATCCATTTGAATCAAATTAAAGACAAATTGAATTTGAATGCTTTTCTTTCCTACCCATCCACACTTAACTTAGTAGACACTAGCATATGCAGTGCATTCGCACATCAGTGCGACCTGGATGGGTTTCATGACGTTTATGCCGTGCTGTTCAGCTGATAATCCCATATTGTGCCTGCTTAATCAGACTCATAGGAGCTGCTTTTGAGGACTAACTGAAAGCTAGAAATAGACTTCTCTAAATATTATATGAAACAAAAATGAGTTTGAGTTGATCTGAGGCCCACACTAGAGAAATAAAAGTTGCTTTTTACTGAGCCTCTCACATATCAAACATATTGCCTAAACACATCAAATATAAATGTCTACCATCCCCACAAGCACCTTGCTTATTTTACAAGAGTACTATGAGGCTCCTTGAGGAGAAAGGTACGTCCCCATCACCTACCAGTGCCCCACTGCTGAGGAGGATCATGAAGACAATGCAGGTTTCAAACCAGTTGTGCTCCACGATTTTGTAGCACGTTTTTCTCAGGTTCCACCAGAGTTTCCCTTTGCCTTCTTCTATGCTTATCTGACAGCACTTGAACTTCCGTACACAGTCTAAAATAGATGTGATCAGTAAAGGAAAATAAAAATCACTCTTTGATTATGCACATTTGCTTGAACGGGAGAGGCATCTGCATTATTCCAAATATCCCAATGAATACCTTTCTTTGTAAAGGTAGTTTGTTCTCATGAAAATGAATATTACTCACAGTTTTAAAATCATCCATTTGACAAACACTATTTTATTTTTATGGGGTGATGATAATGGATTATATTACACTGGAAAGCTATATGACAGGAAAATAAATAGAAAAACAAAACAAAATACAAAAGCATCAGTAAAGTTGATTTCCATCCTGTCTACTCTACTAGTGATTGCTAACCACTCACATATAAATATGCCTATATATATTTTAATTCAGATTCGTTTGCTTAAATTAAATGGAACAAAACACTTAGTTTATTTTTTTCCTCAAGGAATATATGAGATGCTAAAGGATAGTTTCACAGAAAATGGCAAATAGTAGTGGGAATGGTGAATGCTAAACTTGAGAATGGTTTATATTTGGAAGAGAGAGGAGGAAATAGGAAAAGGAAGAATGCATGCATATATGCTTTCTTCTTAAATAAAAAGAGTGAAGCAAATATGAAGTAAATACTCAAATTGTTAAAGCTGCTTGGTCAGTATCTGTATATATATTCTTATTACTTTCTATAATATAGTATTGGTTATATTTCATATGTAATA